GCTGGTTGGTAAACTATGTCTGAAATTCACGTTGGTTGGTGTACTTTGTCTAAAATTCACGCTGGTTGGTAAACTATTTCTAAAATTCGCGTTGGTTGGCATATTTTGTCTAAAATTCACGCTGATTTGTTCACTTGGTGTTGCAAAAACTTGAGTCCAATATGTTTCACCACCAAATGCGACTCCCATATTAGTGAATGCTGGATTAAGAATATTTTGTTGATCGCTGGAACTCATCCAACTTTTTTAATAAAAAATAATAAAGGTGATTTTAATTAGAATTATTAGAATTCATATTTTTTAATGAATCTTAATCTAATAATAAGAGATTATTAAGACCCTTACCTTTGCACAACACGCACTTCCTCATCTGTACCATATCCAACAGCGACATTTTCAGCATAGTTATTGTCACTATAAATGTACCCAGTATCTCGAATTCGTTTCCCTAAATCACCGATAGGGTTCTCGTGAGTGAGTTTACCGGAATACACCATATAATCGGTTTGCGTTTGAGCAGCTTGCGTCAATTGACTATAAAAAATAAAATACATAGTAGAATCGTTAATACTAGTTCTCTTTAATAACAACACATAAAATCACCAAATTTACCCGTCCAATGTAAGTGCAGAAGCTCCAACCTTACTACGTTCATCATTAACAAGTTGAAGAACAAGCTTGGGATTAAAGGCATTGACTACGGTGACCAGTGTTACAGTGGAAATAATAAGGAAAGCACAAGAAAATTTGATTGCTATCATTTTGTATTTTGTTTCTACTTATTTGTTCGAAATTAATGTAAAAATTGGATGTTGCAGCTTTTAAAGGTATTCAGGGAGGGATATTTATAAGGTGCAGATGGTAAAAGCCTTACAAAGCCAATTCTCACAAATATTTTGCATAAACATGAATAATTGCATGATATTAGGCTCAAAGTATATTATATTAAAGTTGGTATTAATATGACATAGCCAATAACTCTCAATTATTTTGCAAAAAAATGAATAATCATGCGAAATTTACCATAAAGCCAATCTCAATGAAGGATATCTAATGGGTTGATGTTGATAAGACATATAAGCCAATACCAACAAATATTTTGCAAAATCATGGATTATCATGCGAAATTTACCATAAAGGAGGAGGATTTTTTGTCGTAATAAGCCTTATGAGCCACCCACAAACAACATGTGTCATTAGCTGCGCCTATCTTAGAGTATTACTACGCCTTGTTCCCTTGACGATCTATAAATAGAAAATTTTGGAGAATTTCTTTTAAAAGCTTATTGCAGAGGCTGTACTAACTGGTTTATTTATTTGTATAATTTAATTCTTAATAAAAGTTCTTCCCTTTGTCTTGTTAATTTAGGGAGGCATGAGACAGATTTTCAACGATTCACCTCCACCGTCACAAAAACTTTTGAAGCAAATCAACCCGAAAGAATTCACCAAAGAAAAGAATTTTATTAGCTTCAGAATTTCAAATTAATTTATCACCAACGATTGATATTTCTATTTTTTTTTAATATAATATATAAGCTAATTTAATAAATTAAGTTTAGAATATATAAATCTTTTTATTTTATTTTTTTTAAAAAAAAAAATATTGAATTTATAGCTAAATAATTAAATTATTTATTGTTTAACATATTATAATATTAATTATACTTCGTACTGATTTGCAAATTTGTACTGCATATTAAAAATTAATACAGAAAAAGCATATTGGTTTTTTGCCAAATTAAACTTAATAAAAAGAAAGCATTGCTACATCAAAAAAATTAAAGAAATAATTAGTTAATACAAAATCAATAATTTATTAATCTGATTATTTATTCTCCAATGAAAATGATTATTTTTTAATCAAAAATCATAATAAATAATGATGCAATTGCAAATGACGTATCACTATTCTTCGTCAATAAATATTATAAACACTCGTAAAAATATTCTTAACGACATATTCTTCACAGCAGATTTCATTTTTTCACTTATTATTTTTTTTTTTTGAGTTTTTTGGGAGAACTTATAAGAAAATATTTTTACTTAGCTTAAATGTCGACCGATATGCAAAAAATATAAGCAACTACTTTTTCAAAAAAATAATTTATGGACATGGCAGAAATACTTCAATGGTCATTGGGCCGGTATTAGGATATTTTGATCAAATATCCAAATTTCAATTCCCCGCAATTACCTAGTCATTTTGAAATGAAGATTTCAACGACTTTTCGGACTGGGCACCAGATACTCCAACTGTGGATAACGCAGAAATGATTTATATTTCTTTAGCTTTGCTTAAGGTAGGAAATCAAATCAGTTGTCATAAAAATTTCTGGTTTTGCGTGGTTATTACTGGGTTAGAAAATACTATTCATCACGCTAAATTTTCATGCTTTGTATTTGTTATTTGATAGATGTTTAAAACACGGTTAGTTTTTGATTTAATTTTTCCAAGTATTATTCAACATCAATTTATATTTGTTAATTTATAAATTATTGATAGGACGTGCCGAAGTACCTATGAAAGATATGGGGTTGATGCTTGGTGAACTCGTGTACGTGTAATTGATGTATTTTCTATGCTTCAAAGTGGTACGATCCCAAAAATGTTAGATATGTTGAAGCAAACTGGACGGTATGAATTGAAGTTCTTTTTGTGTATGAGATTATTATGGTTCATATCTGATTCGATTAATGAATTTTATAGACCAGAAATGGTGGTTGACTGATATCACTCTCACCCTGGATTTGGATGTTGTCTGTATAAATACACAACAAAGTTTTGAGGCATTGAACCAAAGGGCTGTGGCTGTTGTTGTTGATCCGATGCAGTCTGTCAAAATCAAAGTAGTTATTGATGTTTTTCGCCTGATCAATCCTCAAATGCTTATGCTAGGTCAAGAGCCACGTCAAATCACATCCAATATCGGACATCTTAATAAACCAAGTATTCAAGCACGATCATTAATTTAAATCTGTTTTGATTTTAAAGTTATAATTCGTTAACTCTTTGATTTTATCCTTACTTAGGCTTTGATCCATGGATTGAATCGTCATTATTATTAGATTGCAATTAATTATGGAAAGAATGAATTAGAACAGAAAATGTTGCTCAATTTTCACAAAAAAAATTGGACCCATGATTGACGCTGCCAAACTTTACGGAACACACCGAGATCAATGGAAAGAGTGTCAATGTAAAGATTTAGATTTACTTTCCTTCCAAAAAAAATTTTTTATTTTTTCGATTTGCTTATAAAAAAAATTTCAAACTTTCTTTTTTTAGTCGATGCTTACATTGGCGGAATCTTATAATAAATCGGTACGAGAGGAATCAACCATGACATCTAAACAATTGAAACTCGACATGTTGGAAAACAGGATCCAAAGCGTCATTTAAGGGAAAATATGGAAGGTTATGTCCAATAATATTGTAATGGCACTGGAAATAATGACTAATTCAGTCAGTTTCATAGATACAAATCAAAAAAATAAAATCCAGGGGTGGCTATTATTAACTTACTAATTTTGTTGAAATGCAGAAACTTTTTGTATTTGAAAAAAATTAATACTTTTAAATATATAGAATGAATGAATATATTCCTATTCAATTTTTTTCAATTACGAGAAATTTTGAAATTATAAAAAGTATAAAATTACAGTATTTCATCAATCTCAACCCATGTTTAAATTTAAAATTGATCGGAAATGACACTTTAATAATTTTATTTGTTATTGTTTACTTATCAACTAATTCATTGGAGCTTACATCATTAACCATAAGTTGGTAGGCAAATTTATTAGCTAAAAGCCAATATGACAAATTTAGAATTCATTTAACATATTTGGAAATAAAAAAGCATGCCTTTGTATAAATAAGCATTTTTCAGTTTTTTTTTTTTTTTTATTTTTCACGCGGCGCGATCAAATTTGCGGTTATCCTTTTATTCTTTTATAAAGAAACAAAAAAGCGGACAAGTTTTGAGCACATCTTTCTCATAGTACCTTATACAAAATTATGACCAAGTTATAATGTTCTTTTCTTTTTCGTGGCCCTTTCACAAAAAAATAAATTCTCATAATGAACCGCGCCCACCTTTCAGCGAGAGACTATCTTTCAAAACTTTACTCTAGCCGTATTTGTTATTCTGGGTCTTTCTTATTATAGCAATTAATTATGTTAATTAGGTAATTTTTACGTAAAAACACCTTTTAAATAAGTCAAGCAAACACATATTTGCGATACGAATTTATTAGAAGTTGCGGCTTAACATAAAGGATCATGAAATTAATTAGTACTTTTTTTTATGTAAGTTAATAAAGTGAAGTGATATATTATGGCATATTGCATCACGAGAAAATATTTTGATTTTAAGTTATCGCATCCCCTATGTGATATTTAAGAAATTTGCGGGACGCAGAATTTAATATTTTTCTATTTCTAAGACGTTTAACTATAATTTGCTTTTCCAAAAAAGGAAATAACTTTTAAAAAATAACCAGCGAAACGACTTTGCAACAACAGAGATTTTTTTTATTTTCTATTGTGATATCAATATTTATATACGCAATTCAATAAAAGTTGTAAATTATTTATTATGTGACCTCTTAATTTAAATAACAAATATGAAACTGTATTAAAAGGATATTTCATAGAAACTTTATTTATATAATTACATTACAAACATTTTTTAAAAATCCTGGTAAACTTCATTTTGATTTTTATTTAAATTATACGAGTACACTTATATAAAAATAATAAATAAAATAAGTAACTTACAAGTATCGAATTCGTTCCAAGGATGGGGTATCCAATACTGCTCGGCTCAGTCGACTTTCAATGCTCTACAAGGATGGGAGATATCCAACAGGACTCGGGTTGCGTGAGCACCAACTCGTAAAATAGTTTTATAAACATAAGGGAAGATGCATAGCAATTCTTATAACAGAAATCGCAGACCCTTACATTCACGAGCA